GCTGAGGGACTTGCAAGGACTCACTGAAGCAGATGAGCCCAGAAGGAGAAGGGATGCTAAGAGCTGGAACAGTGGCTAGAGGGCCTAGAGGCAAGAAAGGCTTTGACCCTTGATGGCAGGGGGCTCCAGGCCAGAGCAGGAGAAACAAGGGCTAAGGGGTCGAGGCAAAAGTCGGAGGACAGGCCAAGTGCATGAACTTGGTCAGCTCCTTCTGTTCAATCCCAAGAATGGAGTCCTCAGCTCCTCCCTGCCCAGAGCCCATCCTCTCTGCCCCAGACAGGGACCTCAGGAGCACCTCTGCTGGGCAGTTCCCCACCTGCCTACCAAGCTGCCCCAGGAATTTGGCCAAAATTGATTGATGAAACCTCAGGAAACATGAGTCCCACATCATGGGCCTGCGGGTCCTAGGAATGCAGGCTGGGCAGATCCGGGGCTGGGCAGTCTTGCTCCTCTCAGTGTGAAACATCTTTCACTGAAGGTACACTCGTAGTACCCCTCAGATCCCCTTGGCTGCACAGTGCACTTCCTCAGCTGGTGAAGCAGTCACTGAGTAAATTCCAAAATCAGCAGGTGTGTCTGGAATGACCCTGGCCCTACAAATTCACACTTGAGTCCGCCTCCAAAGGCCTTCCCCAGGGAACTGAGACCTTCATGGAAGAGCGGGAAGGAAGGGGACGCTTCTGCTCACTCTGCCTCTGACTGTGGTAGTGGGCGCTCTCCAGTTGTGGATTCTTCTTAGCATTCCTGTTTGCTGTTGGAAAATAATACAACACATTCCCAGAAAATATAGAAAAAGATCATTGGATTCTTCCACATCGGAACAGTTTTTTTTCATTTCTGCAGATTATTTTTTAAGACTCAGGCCCAGAACTTCCACCCCAGAGCACTCAGAAACAGGGCCCCCAAAGCAACCTTGCTGTAGAAGGATGGGTCCGTGTGCCACTGGCTATGATCTGAATGTTTTCCCTTCCCCCATTCACATATGGAAACTTAGGCTCCAAGGTGATGGTTACAGGATGTAGACCCTGAACAGACTCAGACACCAGCCCTCAGGGTTTGGTCTGTAGCGACCAGGAAGTGCCCTGTGCAGACCCAGTCCAAAGAAGGACCTAGCCAGGTATCTGTTGACTTGAGCATCACTTCCCTTTCAGACGCAACTCTCCAAGGGGTCAGGGATTTTTCTTTCCTATTCACATACCCTCTGCCCTTCATTACCATCCTGAGTTACCCAGACAATGCTAGCCCCTGTCTTGGGAACTTGGTGATGACCTTCCCAGTGGTAGAGGGCCATATATCTTGGAAAACATGAGCACAGAAGAGGTTGGGGAAAGTAAAAGAGCAATGTTGTGTCCCTGGGGACAGCAAAGCACACATCAGCCCCCTTACGGAAGAGCCACCACTTCCAGTCTTCACAGTTGTGAATTCTGTGCAGCAGGCCCAGGGACAGAGGGGACTGAGCCTGCCTTTGGCATCCAAGAAGCTTGGTTGCCTGCCATCATGCCTGGCCATGTTAGCACTCACTCAGACCCTGGATGCTAGGGTGATGCTGGCCAGGAAGGCTCTAGGGATTACAGGACATCTGTCCTAGTTTGTTCTTCATTGCTGTGACAAAATACTCTGACCACTAGCAACTTGGGGAGGAAAGGGTTTATTTAGCTTATATATCCCAGGTCACAGTTCATCCGGAAGCCCAAGGTAGGAACTCAGGGCAGGAATCTGGAGGCAGGAGCTGGAGCACAGGCCATGGAGGAATGCTGCTTACTGGCTTGCTCCCCTGGCCCATGCTCAGCCTGCTTTCTTATGCAACACAGGCCCACCCTCCCAGGGGTGGCACCACCCACAGTGGGCTGGGCCATCCCACATCACTCATCAAGAAGATGCCCCTCAGACATGGCCACAGGCCAGTCCAATAGAGGAAATTCCCCAATTGAGGCTCCCTCAACCCAGGTGTGTCAAGTTGACACTTAGTACTGCCATAAGGCATTTGGCCTATATGATATTGTGCTGGATAGCTTTAGTGCTCAGCAACTCTCATCTCAGTCATCTCTGTGACTGTCATTAAATCACCTACCAGTAGGGGCCCTCAGTGCTTTGTGCTATATAGGGAAATCCTTGGCTTATGGGCACCTGTTAGACAAATAAAACCCTTTGGGGTATGTACCTACCCAGGGTAGCACTCCATCTCAGGCCTGAAGCCAGTTTCCTTATCCACAGTGAGGATCATGACCCCAACTTCCTTGAGTTCCCAGTTGGGAAAGGAAAGGTCCAGAACCTGTCAGTAGTGTGGGATCAGATGCCTTAGGGAACAAGTGTCCAGGGCCTTACCTGAGATGACCACTGAGACTAGATTTGAGAGGCTGAGGATGGTTTTTAGGGAACATTGTACATGGTCTTAATCAAGTGCTTGGAACTTTATAGGCCAGCATCACTCAGATTCAAGGCTGAACTTCACTCAGCAGCTGTGTGGTCTTGGACAGCTGCCTATCCCTTCTGAGCCTGTGATGTCATCAGTAAAATGGAAGTCATCTTACCCGAAACCCTGAAACAAAACTGCACCTGCTATTGTTTGTTAGAAGTTCCTGCCCCATGAATATTTCCCTGAACATGTCCCTCTCCCCAAACCTGTTCCTTCCCAACTTCTGCACAAGCTAGATGTGACCTCTTCCTGACTCACACTGCACAGCAATCCTAACATCTCAATTTTTATTTTGAAGAAATTCACCCTAAGCCATTTTACGGTTTGACAGAAGCCCCCATCTACCCTAGATTGACCCTGACTTCACATCCACTGGGATAATGCAAAGACTGAGGACATTATTGACTGAAGCTGATTTTTTTTTTAAATCCATCTCAATTTTTATTTTGAAGAAATTCACCCTAAGCCATTTTACGGTTTGACAGAAGCCCCCATCTACCCTAGATTGACCCTGACTTCACATCCACTGGGATAATGCAAAGACTGAGGACATTATTGACTGAAGCTGATTTTTTTTTAAATCTTTCTAGAAACCTAACTGTGGTCCTGGACTTTTACAAATATGAACCACTTGGATCATCAGTAAGTGGCCCAATGCAGCCCGAGGAAGCTCTGCTGTAAAATGAAGACAGATTCATCCACACTGCCAGGGCTCTTTATGTTCAAATGGAGTTATTCTGTTTCCTTTATGGTCAGGCTGAGGACTCCTGGTTACTGATTGAGTTTCCACCACGGGCAGGGGCTTTAGGTAGGTAGCAAGCAGATGCTGCAATGGGGAAGAACATAGCCGCTAGATAAGGAGGAGGAGGGCAGAAACACCCCACAGAGGGTAAAATCTCGTCCGGATGGTGAATATCAGGCAAAGTCTCCAAGTGAGAGGAGAGGGTCACCAAGTCAGGGACAAATTCCCTTGACCTTGTCCAGGATGACTTCCAGATCCTCCCCAGCCCCTCACAGACTTTCCCCTTCTACTTTAAGACATGCTGAAACTGCTGAGCCTTCTTGAACATACCAAGACCTTTCTCCCCAAAGTCACCAGCCCAAGTGTGAAGGACTTAGCAACAAAGGTTTGAAATTAGCAAAATAACAAACCAAGCAAGAAAAACAACAACAAAGCCCTCAATACCAGACAAACACACTATGTAGCGAATGGAATGTTTGTGGTTTTTTTCTCCGTTAATATAGACTCGGAAAGAAACTGTCAAACAGCTTTGACTGGATTTGCTAGAGGATCATCTCATACCTACAGGTGGTGGCTTTCTGTGAACAGCTTCCTTGGTTAAGCCCTACTACACTCTCCTCAGCTGGAAGAAGATGTTCTCTCAGATCCAGTAGGTCGAGCTAACAAGTATCCAGGATTGAGGACACGGGAGGGGGGGGGGGAAGGGTCCCTGACAGTTTCACAACCCATCATGTCTAGATGTCCTGACCTGGAGACCTGGTGGGGCACCACTGACTCACACACAGGTCACCAAGGCTGACAGTCTGGAGAGGCTCACAGAGGCAGTGGGATCTTCCCACTTCAAATGGTCCCTTCCCATAAGCACTTGCTCTGACCAGCTCATGGGCATGGATTTAAGCTTTCGAAAAATACAGCCAGAAATTAATTTCTTCCTGTAGGAACTAGGAAGGAAAAAGAGCTGTGTAGAGGGAAATGTGGGGACCCCACTAGACAGAAGGTGATTCTGCACAGCGGTGGCAGCTGGGGAAGAGGATGGGGTGGGGTGAAGGACATGGGTCAGGATCTGAACTGGAGGCTAAGAGAACAGTCCCTTCCCAACAGCTAGGGGCAGAGTTTAACCTTTAGCATGTGTAGAAAAAAGTTCAAATATTGGTATGGCTATAAACCGGCAACTACTGGAGTGACACTTATTTAAAAATAAAGGCAAGCTGGGCATGGTGGTGCACAGAGGCAGGCAGGTCTCTGTGAGATCAGGGCCAGCCTGGTCTACATAATGAATTCCAGGCCAGCTGGGGCAGCTGGTGTAAGAGGAGGGAAAATCCATAAAACAATCCTGGAGTCAAAAGAGTCAAAGACAGGGAACTGGGGAGGTCTGTCCTAGCCCCAGAAGTGCAGGAATCTCCTCTGGTAATGTCTCATCAATGCAAACCTGTCCAGGGGGGAACACTCCGGCCATCCTCCCAGGTTAGCCCCACTGGAAGCGTCCTCCTTGTCCTCCTACCCTCCCACAGGTACTCAGCTCTGATGTCAAGGGGAGTGTGCCTGGGTGCATCACTCCCAGAGCCAGGCTAGGCTCTCAGCCATGCAGGGACAAAGAGGTTGGTGGCCACAGTAGGTCTCCCAACTTTCCCAATGACAGAACCCCAGCCTGTGTCCTACAGTGAGCCAGAACACAGAGAACGCACACATTAACATCCCTCGGAGGCACTCAAGGGTGCACTGGAGGAGTCCAGACTCCCATCCCCAAGTCTAAAGGTACTCAGAGCGCCTAGGTTTCTGGGCGGCTCCGGCAGTGATCCGCCTGGGGCGGGGGACCCGGGCGGGGCCGACAGCCTGCGCTCCACCCTCCTCTGCCCCCGACTCTCCTGCTCTTATAACCCGCGTGCTCAAGGGCGGCCGGGACACTCTACTCCTCCGAGCCAGCCACAGGTCAGCAAGCCGGAGCCGCGCGCATCCCCTTCCGAGGCCGACGCCAGCTCGCAGGCATGGCCCCCGCAGCGGCTTCGGGTGGTAGCTCCCTGCCCAGTGGCTTCTCGGTCTTCGCCACCTTCCCCGACTTGCTGTTCATCTTTGAGTTTGTGAGTGACTCCCGCGTCCTGGGGAAGGGAAGGGAAGGGAAGGGATGAGCTGAGCTGAGCTGAGCTGCTTGCTCGCTCCCAGGCACTGCAGAGCTAGCTGTCTGGGATAGCGGGGACAGGGTGAGGAAACCAAATCCAGAAAGTCCTCCCCACCTCTCGGTGGTTTGTTCCTTCTAAACCAAGGAGAGTGGAGGACCAGTCTCTAAGCCAGGTGGAGAAAGTACCTTGGCAGTGTGGGTCAGGTGCAGCGTGGGTCAGAGGCTGGCGCGCGGTAGGGTGTAGTCTTTGCGGGCAGTGTTGGACGTCTGTGTGCCAGGTCCTCTTGGCCTGGGTGGAGAAGGCTCACCCCCACGCTTTGCCCCTGTTGGAGCGCAGCGTCCTTGTAAGGTGCCCACTTTTTTTCCAGGAAAAGTCAGTTTAAGTAAACAAAATCAGCCAAAGAACCCTCCGTGTTGCCAACCGAGCGAGATTTAAGATCAGAAGGAATCAAATGTCTTCTGGACTTTTGAAAATTTCTGGGAAGAGAATGTATTTGAGACGAATTTGGTCTGGGAGTTTAGAAAATAGTGGTCATCGTTTGTTTGCTCCGCTGCGGTCATTGTGCCCTGTGGAGCAGGAGTGAGGGGAAACAGGTGAATTCTGTCCTCTGCGTGGCTGACCTTGAGCTGACTCTGCACCTGCACAAGGTCCCTGGAGGGAGCAAGGATAGCCGCCCCTGCAGCTCCGAGAGTTTCCTATTGGAGGCTCTCGGTAAGATGTCAAGTGTCGCGACTTTAGACTTCAGACTTCCCAGGCTTCAGGTCCCCAAGTGTCACTGGTGCTTGCCTGGAGGATGTGTTTGCTTCTTCTGTGGGTGTGGAGATTTTTCTGTTTTCCGGCTTCAGAAGCCACACTGCTGACAGTTGGCTGGGAAGAGAAAATGTGAAAGGTGCTTTTAGCAACTAGACTGGAGCTTCTAGCTGTCTGGTTGGAGCAGGGAGGATGTGGACTCCAAAGACAGCAGCTCCTTCATCTGTGGGGGAATGGGGCAAGGGCAAGGGCATCTCAGTTGCCTGATAGCTGGGGTAGTGTGATTTGAACCTCAACCTGAGTGTATCTGAAGTGACTTTAAGTCCTATGAATAACTGTAGCCCAAATCATGGAAGTAACATTTAGAGGAAACCACAGGCACCACTCAGCAAGGCCCCCATCATATAGAGACCTCATACCCAAGCCCAAAGTAGGGGTGAGGTTTGCCCAAGGTCTGCCATGTCTATAGCTAGCCTTCCTCCCTCCTTGAGCCTTCCTGCCTCCCTGAGTCCTTTCCTTTGTCAGACAAATTCTGGAACAGTGCCAGCTGAACATATTTGACACAAGCACAGAATCCATGTGGGAGAGAACCCATTTGGGTCATTCTTACCCCAGGGGTCTCCTTGGGTGCTTGCCTTTATCATCTCTTAGCCTGTGTTTGCCCAGTATTGGGTTTCTGAACATGAACAGACATGTCTGGGACCTGAGAATAAGTAATGTGTGACTCTTCAGAGCTTTGCAGAGAGGTTCTTATAGGGGCAGAGACCAAAAGAGTGCATGTCTCACTATGAGGTGTGATAGGGGAAGGAGGTTTTTATGCAAAAAGTCTCCGGTCTCTCAAAATTGCTGTTTGGAGAACGTTCTAACAAGATGAAAGACTAGGGTAGTGGCTTCCTCTGTAGCAGGTGCCTTGGCCTCCCAGTGCTCTCTTTCTTTCTCTTAGTAGCTCAGTGTGAGGTAAGGACTGGCCCTGAGGGTAGGAACAACCCAGTCAGGCAGGACAATCTAATCTGCAGAGGGGACAGGATGATCCCACCACCATTGCAGAGAGAGACACTGTGGAAATTTTCTGAGCCACCTGTTTAGTGAAAATGTACCCCACTAGTGTGGCCTCCATTCCTGTGATAACAGAGATTTCTAGGGTTTCCCCTTTAACTGTCTTGGAAAATATGTCTTCTACCTCAACCATTGCTTGGATGGCTACCCACCCCTCCTAGCTGTCACTTCCCAAGAAGCCTTCACTGTTTCACTTGCCGTCTTTGAATTGCTTTCTTCCTCTTTAGATGGGGGCTAGGTTCACAGGGTGCCTGAGAGAGAAAGGAGAATGTAGGCAAGGCCCTTTAAGCTCTCCTCTGCACAGACTCAGCAGAAAAGCTGTATGTGCTTTGATGGAAGGATGCAGAATTCAAAGGCACTGGCCACTCCAAGAGTGTTTTCTTAAATGATGGAATATCACAACTCAAAAATCAAAAGACAAAACATAATTATGGGCAAATGGCTTGAACAGACATTTCCCCAAGGAAGAAACAAAAGTAGGCAATGAACCCATGAAATGATGCTGAGCCACATTCATCATCAGGGAAATGAAATAAAAACTACAGTGAAAGGTCACCTCCTACCCATTACACTGCCTATTATTTTTAAAACAGGTCTGGCAGCAAAGGTACAATAAAACTTTAAAACAACCCTTCCCAGTGGAGCATAACAAGTGTTTGCCAGGATATGGGGGAGAAATTGGACTGCTCACACATTGCTGATAGGAAATGTAAAATGGTTTAGCTAACTGTGGAAAACAGTTTGGTGGCTTAAACAGTTACCTATGGCCCAGCAATTCCACACCCAGGTATATGACCGCAGAATTCAAAGCTGAACATAAATGTTCACAGCAGTGCTAGTCATAATAACCAACAGGTAGAAACAGCAGAGAGGCCCACCAACAGATGAACAGGAAAAATAAAACATCCCCTATCCCTACAATGAAATACAATCCAGGCATAGGAAGGAATGAAGTGCTGATCTGTGCTGCAAAGATTATAAACCTTGAAAAGTCACGCTAAGTGAAAGGAGGCAGATGGAAAAGATCACACACTATATGGTTCCATTTATACGACATATCCAAAATTGTAAAACTATAGTGACAGAGCACAGCCTGATGGTTTTCCAGGGCCTGAAGGGAATGGGGAGTGGGGAGCAGCTGATCAGTGGGTATGGGATTTCCTTTTAAGATGATGAAATGTTTTTAAATTAAGTAGAGGTGATTATTGTATGACACCATGAATATGCTGAATGCCAATAAACTCATCATTTTAAATGTTTGGTTTTGTAATACATAAACTTCATTCCAATAAAAAAAATCTATAAAACTTTCAAATGGTCTAGAAAAGTATACAAAACATTTTATCAGGCACCCGTACAATTATTGTCCAACTTCATCAAAGCTTGCTATTTACCTTATTTGCTTTTCAGTATTAAAGAGTTAGAACTATCCAATGTGTTGAGCCTGGTGATTCTCTGGCCTTTCTCTTGCACTCCTTGCATCCTCCATCCTCTGGAACACTCCAAGGCTAAAAATGATGTTTATTACTTCAGTGCCCTTCAGACTTCACTGCACACTTAAGTATGAACACAGCACTGTTTCCCAGTTTCCCAGCTGTAAAAATATCACACTAGATGTATCCTGTAGCACACACCATGATGATTTGAGATTTATTTAGCCATTGATGGACATTTTGGCTATTTCTGGTTTTTTTACTTTTAGCTGTTGCAGATAACATTGTTAGGAATATTTTTGCAATTACTGCTGGAAATTTATCTTGGAATATATGGAGATTTGGCCGCAGGATCATAGGGCATGCACATCTGTTTCTCTGCTACTGCACTGCTGTCCCAATGGGCTATTCTTTTTATTGAATTTTTGTGTATTTCATACATAACATCACCTTTATACCCTCCCATAGCACACCCCCCACACACACTGGAATTCATACATTCTATCATTTGTATTAAGGCCTATTATGTAAAGTTAGTGTCCCGAGATGTCCCTCAGAGCAAGTTCAGCCTATCTAGAGTCTCTCCCTTCAAGATCAGCTCTTCCTCACCCAGCAGTAATCAGCTGCCAATGGGCTATTCTAATTGACATATCCCAGTAGCAGTTTCCCAGGAAGCTCATACAGGACCAGTACCTATTAAGGTCCCTTCTAAGACCTAGCCCCACTCATTTTGTGTGATTAATAAAGAAGGTTGGCATATTGTATACACAAGCTTCAGGGTAAAACTGGGCTTTCTCTACTCTCAGCAGCAGCATATGAAAGTCTCCATTGTTCCCCATCCTTGCCATGCTTAGTAGTGTCAGCCTTTGTAATTTTTCTGCTCATCTGATGGGTGTGAAGTGCTTCATTATTTTTTAATTCTGAAGCTTGAGTTGATGGTGACTCAGGGTTCAGTTTCCTATGCCTAAACTCCCAATAGCCTGGGAGGTACAGAAGTCCAAGGCCAATAGGGTGGAACTACTCCACTCCCAGTCCCAGAGCAAGGAAACCTACACACTGGGACAGAAAAGGGTTGTGGCTCTGGGTGAGGCTGGCAACTTCACCCTGCCTTAGTATCCTTACCTGGAGCCCCTGGTCTCAGTGAGATCTTCAGGGAATGCAGAAAGCAAGCCCAGCTCAACGGAGTGACCATACATGTCTGAGAATCCCTAGAGCCACAGGCAGTAGGGAGACAGATGCAATCCATATAGGTCCAGGGGGAACTTCTTCAACATCTCAACCCAGGGCATTGCTTCTGGCCTCTTCTGCACAAAAGTCCCCACCCAACAAAAGACTTTTCCTTTAGGAGCCACAATTAGGAATCTGTTTCCTCCTCCTCCTCCTCCTCCTCCTCCTCCTCCTTTTACTGTGTGTCCTCTTCCTCCTCCTCCTCCTCCTCTTCCTCCTCTTCCTCCTCCTCCTCCTTTTTCTTCCTCCCTTGCATTCTGTCCCCCTCCTTGTCTTGCTCCTCTCCCCTTCTCCTCCTCCTCATCCTTTCTCCTCTTTCTCCTCCTCTCCCTCTCCCCCTCTTCCTCATCCCCCTCCTAGTCCTTTCCCTCCTCCTCCCTCTTTCCCCTCCTATTCTTTCTCCTCCTCCTTCTAGGCTTCTTGGCCCTCAGACCACCATTCCCAGGAAGGGAGGTTAACACAAATGCTTTCACTCTCAGCTGCACCAAGCCTCAG